TTGATCTACAAGCCTTTGAAGAGATTGTGGCACTCTTTATCTATGGGTTGGTCATGTTCCCAAACCCTGATCAGCTTATAGATGTGAATGCTGTCAAGATTTTCATATCCAAGAATCCCATACCTACATTGCTTGGGGACATCCTACACTCATTTTATACACGAACAATGAGGAAAAGAGGTGTTCTCATGTGATGTATTCCTCTCCTAGCAAAGGGGTTTATTTCTCACCTTCCACAATCAGTTTTGAAGAACGAGCAGGGTTTAAGGTGGTCACAACGGTTGATGACCCTCACACATTCTGATGTACATGGTGTTCTCGGGCCAGAGAAAATGTCATCATCATTGATCGTTGTGGGGAATTCCCTAATGTCCCACTACATGGCATTAGGGGAGGCATTACCTACAACCCTTGTCTAGCTTTGAGACAATTTGGATATGCTCGGAGGGATGGCCCTCATCACATGCTGATTCCTGACTTAGTTTTCGACTTTGACAACGACACGCAAGGACTTCGATAAAGGTTCATCAGAGCTTGGAGGATGCCCAACAAGGTGGATAGTAAGACACTGGGGCACAAGAATTCCATCCCCCTTTAGCCTTATCTCAAGTGGGTACGAACCCGCTCCCAGAATCTTATGATGCCATACCCTCACATTCTCCCCTTGATCAAAGAGCCTGTTATGGAAGGAGAGGTTCCATACACCATCCTACATCCTGACATGCCAACATCATGGGAAGAAATGCAAAAGATTTGGATCCAACTCAAGGAAGAACGGGATACTTTTGAAGCCAGCTTCTATGCCAGTGAGAAGAAGGTTTTAGAGCTTACCCGCCGACTTCATGAGGAGGAAACTCTCAACACTTACATCGCACCAAAGAGGATGCGCAATTTCTTTTTACATTAAGAATTTTGTAATATTTTGCCCATGGGGCACTTATGTACTAACAATTTCTTCTTAATATAACGTGCGTTTCTTTTTTGTTTGCAACATATTTGAATTTCTGAATCCTTGAATGCATTACATGAATAACATACCATTCATCATATGCATAAACAGGTCTTCACACCAGGTTTCCTTATCTTTCTGCTGTTTATTTCCGCAAGATGGATTTGGAGAAGACGGTAAAGGATCTGCAGGCACAAAATTCACAGTTCTAGCAACTCCTCATGACCTTGGCAAAGGGTCAAGAGGACCTCAGAGTTTTGTTGGAGAAGAATAAAGAGAAAAAGAAAAAGAGACCTGGGGTGGCCACTTTTGGTAGAAGGTTTGAGAGCAATGCTAGAAAGGTTCTGGAGTTCCCCTCAACGTCTGACGAAGGGGCTGTTAAAGGGAAAGGATTTATTGTACCTTCTGAGTTTGAGGTAGAAGAGGAGGAAGACGAAGAAGACGAAGACTACTCCGAACAACAGTATCCACCAGCAGATGATAAATATAAGAATCTTGAGGATAGACTGCCAGCTATGGAATTGCAGAGAGTACCGGGTTTGGATTTTGAAGAACTAGGGCTGGTGGCTGGAATTGTTATCCCTACCAAATTTAAGGTGCCAACATTTGCCAAGTACGACGGTCTGTCTTGCCCTAAGATGCACTTGAGGTCGTATGTCAGAAATATCCAACCCCACTCACCCGATAAAGACCTCTGGGTGCACTTTTTCCAAGACAGTTTGTCTGGCACGTAGTTGGATTGGTTTTATCAGCTCGAGAGATCAGAGGTTCACAATTGGGAAGACTTAGCAGCTACTTTTTAATGTCAGTATCAATACAATGTTGATTTGGAGCCCACTCGTACTCAGTAATAAAGCATGGGGATGGCTTCCAATGAAGGGTTTAAAGAGTACGCCCAGAAGTGGCGTGATCTGGCTTTAAGGGTGCAGCCGCCGTTGTCAGATAGAGAGTTAGTTGACATGTTTTTGGGGACCCTGTCTGGCCCCCTCTTCAATCATCTAATCAGGAGTTCTTCCACGGGATTTACTGAACTAATTTTGACCGGCGAAAAGGTTGAGGACGGAATTAAAAGTGGAAAGATTCAAAAGGATGCTTCCGCATCCATAGCTATTAAGAAACCCTTTTCGGATAAGAAGGAAGCATCTGATGTGTATTCTCAGAAGGGTCAGGGAAAAACTGAGCACCAGCGGACTGTAGGGGCTGTGATGATTCAAAACTCATCGAATGATCAACCTCGTAACAATCAGTCGAGACCTAATCGACAACGGGTGGAAAGGCCACAATGGCAGTTCACCCGCATCAACATGACGCCCGCTCAGGTACTTCTTCATTTGTTGAAGCTGAATCTGACCAGTTTGAAGGAAGCGCCAAAGAACCCTAACACCTCCTCTCCATACTACCACTCCAATGCCAAGTGTGCTTACCATTATGACAGTGCTGGGCATGATACCAATAATTGTTGGGCGCTTAAGAACAAAATCCAAGACTTGATTGATGCCAAAGAAGTAGAATTCGATGCGCCTGAGAAGCCCAATGTCATATCTGCTCCGATGCCCAAGCACGGCCACAATGTTCATGCCGTTTCAGGAGACCTCCATGTTACTGATGTTGTTGATCTGTTGACACCGTTACTTGTAATTAGAGAGAATTTATTGAGAGTCGGGATCTTTCCTGGTTGTGGTAAAGACTGCTATTTTTGTCTGAACATACAAGGTGATTGCCCAATGTTGAAGTCAGGTGTCTAGCGCCTGATGGATACTCAAGAGATACTTTTCCAGAAGACTCCCATTGATACCTTTGAATCCTGTTACTCCTGTTACTTTTGCTACTTCATCCAACGATATTGCAATTATAACCATTTCCGACAATCCTCCCAAGGCTTGCAAAAGGCCTGTCAGATTACACCAACCTCTGAATGTGTACCATTAAAGATCACCATGCCGGGACCTGTCCCGTACCAATCCAGCAAAACGATACCATGGAACTATGGGGGAGAAATCTTCTACCATGGTATCAAACAAATCACAACAGTCCAAGAGATTTCTGAAGAAGAAAGGCCTGATATAGGGAACATTGCGGGTACAAGCAAGATAACCTGCAGCGGTCGGATCTTTTCTCCGGAGACTGCTCCCCCTCGAGAAGTTTTCGGACCCTTGAAAGCTTCTATACCTGTTGGACCATCTGTGCAAGGCCCAGTGATTGAAAAATTGGATACTCCTGAAGTAAGACCATCTGCTGATACTACCGACAAGGGTAAGGGGATACTGGAAGTGCCTGTCAGGACGAAGGCTCATGCTGTGGTTATCCCCGAAACCACTCAGAAAGAAATGGATGAAATCTTGAAAATAATCAGAAAAAGTGACTACGACATTGTGGAACAGTTAGGGAAGACCCCTTCTAAAATTTCAATGTTATCTCTCCTGCTCTGTTCTGAGGCCCATGCTAAGGCCCTAATCAAATTCTTGAAGGCGGCACATATACCCCAAGAGACTTTGGCTGACCGGTTTCAGGAATGTGTGGCCAGTCTTACTGCTGATAATGGCCTTGGCTTTTCCGATGCTGACTTAACTCCCAAAGGAAGGAAACACAATGATGTGCTACATGTCTCAATTGAATGCCGAGGAACCACTCTCGCCCTTGTCTTAGTTGATACTGGTTCTTCCTTGAATGTGCTGCCGAAAAAAGCCTTAGACCGTTTGGACTGCGAAGGATTGACCCTCAAACCTAGTAACATCGTTGTTAGGGCCTTTGATGGGTCCAAAAGAATGGTTCATGGGGAGGTTGATATTCCTATCAAAGTAGGCACATAAGTTTTCAACTCCACCTTCTACATGATGGACATCCGTCCGTCATATTCATGTTTGCTAGGAAGACCGTGGATCCATTATGATGGGGCAGTTACCTCCTCTTTGCACCAAATGATGAAATATCTTGTTAAGGGTAAGATTATACACTATGCCAAAATTGAATTTAGACAGCGCCACATAGACAACGGTTATGCCATAAGCGCTGCTATAGGTTTTCAGAAGAAAAAAAATTAAAAAATTAGAGTAAGCGCTGCTAAAGGTATACCTTAGACAGCACTTACTAAAAGCGCTGCTAAAGGCCTTACCATAGACAGCACTTCCTTTCCCTAAGGGCTGCTATAGGTTTTCAATAAATAAAAAATAAAAAAAATAAGAATAAGTGCTGCTAAAGGGTATACCTTAGACAGCGCTTACTAAAAGCGCTGCTAAAGGCTTTACCATAGCCAGTGCTTCCTTTCCCTAAGCACTGCTATAGGTTTTCAATAAAAAAAATAAAAAATAAGAATAAGCGCTGCTAAAGGTATACCTTAGACAACGCTTACTAAAAGCGCTGCTAAAGGTGTGATAAAGGGTATACCTTAGACAACGCTTTCAAGAAGCGCTGCTAAAGGCATTACATTAAAGCGCTGCTAAATCCTTAAAGCGCTGCTAAAGGTAATACCTTTAGCAGCGCTTCTTGAAAGCGCTGTCTAAGGTAATTAAATAATTTCTAAATCCCTAAATTGGTTATCAGAAACCCCACTTTATACAAAACCCCACTTTATACACACAATTGTTCATCTTCGTCTAACTCGTCTCCTCCCTCCTCACCGTCCAACCGTGGTTCATCTTCTTCTCCAACTCGCTTCAGATTCGTTACCACCATCTCCTCGTGAAGAAGAAGTTTCACAAAACCAGTTTCACTATAAGGTAAAATTTCTTCATCCTTCTAAATTTTGGATTGATAGTTGTAGTTACAATGATTAGTTTACTCTTTCTCCAGATTCGTTCAGTTTTCTCCTTCTATTGCAATTATTTAGGTTTCTCTTAGAGTTTAATTGATTTTTTTGAAATCTTCATTGTTGTTCTCCAATTTCTAATTTTTCCGTTTGGATTTTGGAATGTTATTGTGGTATGATAATTGTAATCTAAGATTCTAAATAACAATGTGTCCATGGTTGAGGGTTTTCCATTTCACCAAGAATTTATTTTTAGGTTTTGTATCCCTCTGCCTTCCAGCCCCTGTTTTGTCGTCCAAAGCATTCTCATGCTTTTATACTTTTGTTTTGCTTCACATATGTCAATTCAGTGGAAGGAATAATCGGAGATAATGTAGGAGTTTCCATTTGTGTTTGGAACAAGGGACTTGGTGATTCAGGAGATTCTGCAGGTGAAGGAGTAGTAGTTTCTTGTGGAGCTGCAGAGGGAATGATGGAAACAATTGGAGAATCTTCTATTGGAGGAGATGCTGCTGTTGGAGGAGATGCTATAGCTGGAGAGGTAGGAGAGATTTGAGTGGCAAGTGTGTTTATTTCAACTTTCATTCCTTGGCTGCAATGCCCTATTGTTCCACAAATGAAGTATCTTTTGCCTTGTGATGTGAGAGGAATGGTTGTGGCACCATCATTGGAAGATTGAATTGGATTTGTTTGCTCGCATGACTCATAATCTGATTTTGTAACTTCAACCACATTATGGTTTGGTGGATATTGGAAAACTGCATTATATTTGGATAAACAGCTTTTTGTCCATACACATACCTGTTCCTTTTTTTACCAAATGAGAAAAAACAAATCAAACACTAAAGAAGAAAAATCCAAAGAACAAACTAAACAACAAAAGACACGAACCAAACAAATGAACAAAAGACACATTTTAGTATGTCTTTCTAACTTTGTCATACATAGGAACTACAATGACATGACACCAATCTACACATTCAAATACTAAAATAACCATTCACTCCAAAATTACTTTTCATCAAAACCCTGATTAAAATTTCAAACACTAAGAAAAAGCATGGTTTTAAGAAGAACCTGTAATCTCCATTATTCTGAGAGCAAGAGTTACTGTCAAGAAACAAGGAACCATTATTGTCTTCAAATGACAAACTAATACCAGAAGATGCTGATGACCTTGATGTTGTCTGAGGATACATAAAGGAATGTTGCAAATTGGAAGCATAGCAAGAATTTTAAGGGTAATTTTGGTGTTGTTGTGTATCAAAGGACAAAGAAGAAGTATTTTTGGTGATGGATGAGTTTGCAAACGTTGAAGCATTATTTGTTGTTGTTTTCAGAAGTTCCACAGGCTTTCTTGAACGGTTTTTTCCTCTATGCATATGTCTCTCACAGTATTTAGAATCTGGATATGCTTCTTTTGAGCGTCTCCATTTCTTTCCATCTATTCTTCTACATCTTCCTGGCTCAGGATCTATCTTTCTTCCCAAACCCATCTGTAGATAGTTCCATCCAACTGAAAAACAAAAAAATGTAGTAAAAAAGAATAGCTTCATGAACCTGTATTCTCCGATGCAATTGCATTAAAAATTGGGTCATAGAAAGTGCATTTGAGCGTAGGTAAAAAAGTTGATGATAGAGGATTAAAATAGTATTTTGATTTTGTAACCTTAAGATATAAGACTTACAATGATGTTGTTGGGTGTTAGGCAAAAGTGTTGAAGAGAGAGGAGAGTCCAAAAAGCTTTTTCTAATGGTGAAAAGAAGATCAGGAGGAATAGAGATACCAGAAGCCATGTACTTGTAAACAAGGGCTTGATGTTCAAGCTCTTGCCATTGTGAAGGAGTAAAAAAAGGGAACTTGTTCTTGTTCATAGTTATTGATTGATTGGTATGAAGATGTGAGAGAGGTAATGGTAATAAATAATGAATGATAATAGAATACGTGTGTGAAGTAGTAGGTATATTTATTTATTAAGGATTGATGAGGAAGTGGAAGCATTAGATTAGAATATTGTTCTGATGGTTATAATAAAAGTAATGGTTGTGTTCTGTTGTTGTTGTTGCTCACTGCTGCTTTTGCAGCAGCTAACCTGTCTCACTGCCACCTCTTGTGTCTCTCTGACATCTCTACAGAAATCTATAAAATAATAATTAATAATAAATAAATACATTAGGGTTGGAAGAAGATTATGAAAAGAGATCTTATTGTTTCTCCTAATTAACAAAATATATATATATAGCATGGTGTTGTTGATTAACAAATTAACAAAATTTCGTACAAAATGTTGGAGTTACCATTCAACATGACACTTAATTTCCCTACATTGTTTCTTTTCTGTTTCTCATAATGTATGCTTAGCTCATGTAGACATGCCTGCAAGGAACAAAGGAATCACATCATGTAAATCCCCCATCTAATATTCAACTTAGTAATAGTAAAATATAACACAAATCATGAATCTTAGAATGAGTTCACAACTAAGCTAATGTCTCTAAAATTGTAACATTGACGATCATTGATTGAATATGTTATAGGACCACAACAATCCTCATTTCTAGAATTGTTCTAATCACATGTTTGATTTTTGTTGACAACACATACTCGTTAACTTAGATAATAGTTAAAACCATGGATAAAAAATGGATGTGTGCCGATCGATAGTCAAAAGAGTACGAGGATGGGGTATTAGAGTTCGTTAAGTTTGTTGTTGAACATGCTGAAGACCCAAATAGAATGAAATGTCCTTGCTTGGGTTGTTGTTATGTGGGTCGGGTTTACGCAGATGGATTGAAATCACATTTATTAATGCGCAGAATTGATTGAAGTTATACGTGTTGGATATTTCATGTTGAGAAAAGCATCGAGAATGTTGAACCGGGGGTGAAAAGTAATGTGACCTATGTTTCGTTCGACAATGCCACGGATACATATGATTGTGATCGGGTTGAAGAGATTGCAGAAGCACTTGAAGAAGATCTTCAAGATTGTCCCAAAATGTTTGAGAGGTTGGTAAGCGATGCAGAGAAACCGTTGTATAAAGATTTCCCCAAATTCACAAGATTGTCTGCAGTATTAAAATTGTACAACTTAAAGGCGCGCAATGGATGGTCGGATAAAAGTTTCACACAGTTATTAGCCCTTTTGAGAGATATGCTTCATGAGGATAATGTTCTTCCTAATCGAACCTACGAGGCCAAAAAAATGTTGTGCTCTATTGGCATGAGCTATGATAAGATACATGCATGTCTAAATGATTGTATTTTGTTTCGAAACGAATATGCATCGTTGAATGAGTGCCCAAAGTGCGGTTTATCTCGATATAAGAAAAAATTATCTCCAGCGAAAGTCTTATGGTATTTTCCTATTATTCTGAGATTTAGACGCATGTTTCATAGTGAAACCGATGCTAGACACTTGACTTGGCATGCAGATGAAAGAATTATCGATGGAAAGTTTCGACATCCGGCAGATGCACCACAGTGGAAGAAAATTGATAATGATTATCATGATTTTGGAGGAGAAACAAGAAACCTTTGCTTGGCATTATCTACGGATGGAATGAACCCGCATGGTCTTCAAAGTATCTCACATTCCACATGGCCTGTAATTCTTATGATTTATAACCTACCTCCATGGCTATGTATGAAGCGAAAGTACATGATGTTATCTATGTTAATTTCTGGGCCTAAACAACCAGGGAATGACATAGATGTATACTTGAAACCTTTAATCGAAGATTTGAAGATTTTGTGGGAGAACGGTGTGGAGGTTTATGATGGATATAGGAAAGAAAGTTTCAATTTAAGGGCGATGTTGTTTGGCACAATTAACAATTTTCCAGCATATTGAAATCTATCCGGGTATAGAATTAAAGGTGAAAAAGTGTGTCCTTTCTGTGAAGATGGAACCGATACGACATGATTGAAACTTTGTCAAAAGAATGTCTTTCTCGGTCATCGTAGATTCTTAAATTCAAAACATCAATATCGTGGATGGAGAAAAGCATTCAATGGAAATACCGAACAACGTAGAGCTCCACCTGGATTGACAGGTGATCAAATTTGTGAAAAGGTGAAAGATGTGAGTATTCAGTTTGACAAGCCTTTTGCACATAAAGTTGTCATAGGTGGGTGGAAGAAGAGGTCAATTCTTTTTGAATTGCCATATTGGAAATATTTGTACGTAAGACATTTTCTTGATGTTATGCATATTGAAAAAAAATGTATTTGAAAGTGTTATTGGTACGTTACTCAATATAAAAGGAAAGTCTAAGGATGGCCTTAAAGCAAGAGAGGACATGGTAGAGATGGGAATAAGAACTGAATTAGGACCCGTGAAGAAAGGAAGACGAACATATCTACCACTTGCTTCTTATACTCTATCTAGAAAGGAAAAGAAAATATTGTGTAAGTTTCTGAGTGATGTTAAAGTTCCAGAAGGTTACTCCTCAGACATTAGAAGACTCGTGTCCATGAAAGACCTCAAGTTAAAGAGTCTGAAGACACATGATTGCCATGTCAAAATGGAACATTTTCTACCAATAGGTATACGTTCTATTTTGCCAGAAAAAGTAAGAAGCGCTATAACTAAATTGTGTTTTTTTTTCAGGTCAATTTGTAGTAAGGTGATCGATCCTGAGATCTTACCAGTATTACAAAAAGAAATCGTTATTACTCTGTGTGACCTTGAAATGTATTTTCCTCCATTATTTTTTGACATTATGGTACATCTTGTTGTTCATCTTGTGAAAGAGGCACAATTGTGTGGACCAGCTTATATGAGATGGATGTACCCTGTTGAACGTTATATGAAAATATTAAAAGGGTATGTGAAAAACCGAAGTCGTCCAGAGGGTTGTATCGTTGATCGATACGTTGTTGAAGAAGCGGTTGAGTTTTCTACTGATTTTTTGTCCAATGTGCAATCCATTGGATTCCCCAGATATCATTTTTTTGAAAAAAAAGAAGGTAACAAATTAATTGGAAATGAAATTGTGACAGTATCAAGGGATGAACGGGATCAAGTGCATTTGTATGTTCTGCACAATGACACTGAGGTTGAGTCGTTTGTTGAAATGCACAAGGCTATACTCCGAGGTGAGAATCAAAGTAGAAATTAAAATTGGATAGTACGAGAGCACAATCAAAGTTTTATACAGTGGTTTAAGGATCATATATATTCAAAGTTTCATTCAGATCCCGCTACAATATCAGACAGGTTGAGATGTTTGGCATATGGTCCAAGTTCGATTGTGTTCTCTTATAGAGGATACGGAATTAATGGATACACATTTTATACCAAAGAACAAGATGAGAAAAGTACCATGCAAAATAGTGGTGTCACGGTGGTATGTGAAGCAATGCACATTTCTGGTATGAAGGACTTAAACCCCAAATATGAAAATTTGTCATATTTTGGGGTTATCAATCACATCTAGGTGTTTGATTACAATAAGTTTCAAATTCCTATCTTTGGTTGCAAGTGGGTACATACTAGTGGCATACGAATGGATAAGTCAGGGTTTTTTGCAAGTGGATCTTAGTAGGGTGGGGTACAAAGATGAGCCTTTTATTCTAGCCTCTCAAGCTAAAAAAGTGTTATATGTCACATACCCGAAGAGTACGAAATGGTCTATAGTGCTTTTATCTAACAAAGTGATTGATGATAAAAGTGTGGATAAAGTTGACGTTGATGTTGAGAATGAGTCGTATATTAGAAACGATCGAGATGATGATACTACAACGGATGAATCATATATCAGAAAAGATCATGATGAGGGAATTTGGATCAATCCCTCCGTCCGCATTCTTAAGAGACAAGTAATTCGGAATCCAACCAAGAAAAGAAAGAGATGTTAGTGAAAGAGGTAATATATATTCCTCCATACCTGTTAACACTTAGCAAACTTCTAAAAATTATATATTTGTCATTTTATATACTCAATTGATATTTGTCATTTTATATACTCAATTGATATTTGTCATTTTATATACTCAATTGATATTTGTCATTTTATATACTGAATAGATATTTGGAATTATATATTTGGAATTAAATATTGGTCATTAGATACTAATGTTTTTCTTTATTACAGGTTAGATGGCTAGTAACGAGGAGCACCCTCACGATGATTCTATTAATGATGGAGACAATGATGGAGGAAAATCCAGTAAGGGAGTGGAAAAAGAAATAAAAATAGGAAAAACTATTATGAAGAATATCATTCGTGATAGAGATAGGGGTATAAAATATGATGTGAATTGGAGTCCAAATGACCAATTAATTGAGCCTAACGGTTCTAAATTGACAAGTTACATTGGCACACTTGTAAGGAGAGAAATTCCAATAACTTGTGATGAGTGGAGAGATGATAACCTGAATGATGCTAAAAACAAAATCTGGAGTGAGATACAAGTGCTTTAAATTATGTCTTTAAATTACGATTATGTACTTTAAATTATGTCTTTAAATTACTTTTACTAACGCACTTTGTGTATGTTTTTTGTAGAGGTCTTTCAACATTGATGACAAAAAAAAGATTATTGTCTTGGATTGGCCGGCAAAATACTGAGAGGGTTTAGAACATAATTAAAAAGAAAATATCTTAGAGATGCCGAAAAAAAATTTGTTGATGCAGAGCGTCCAGCAGAATATGCGGAAGTGATTTCAGTTAAAGAATGGGATGTTTTTAAAGCCAAACGGAAAACCCCAAAATTTCAGAGTGTAAGTGAAGTAAATCGTCTAAGAGCATCATCTCCCGCATATCCATACAAAAAAGGGCGTTTGGGATATGCACGATTAGAACAAAAAATAGTAAGTATTTACAAATTGCAATGATATACTTGTTCATCAATAGTTATAATTGAGCTTG